AAAAAAAATTCCTATCTTTTCATAGAAAAATTTTCTTTCAGTATCTTTCTATCAAATAGAAATTGGAATCAACTCTTTGTGCCATTAATTTGGTATCGTAAATTATTATTTAAAATCGAAAAAAATCATCTTAGATACAAATATCATGTTAACATAACTAAAACAAGTCTCTAAGATATAAGTATTGTCAAATGTATTCAAACATCTATATAATTAGATATTAAGATACATTTTAGCATATTTTCTTAAATCTTTGTTAATGTATGTAACTAATGACATATTCTCGATGTTTTTTTTGGTTTTATTAACTTTTAGTCACAATAAATAAATGATCTTTACACCATATTGATCCATGAATATCACATGATACTAACGAAATGTAATAAACAACGAACAATATCAATTATTTTCTTTTGATTGCACCTTATCAACTCAACATTTGGTAGTTGCCTTTTTACTTCGTACTAAATCGTTTAAAATCCGTTGGGGAATTTCTAATATGTTTATGGCTTCAAATAGATAACAGACTATAAAAATTAAATTACTTTGCAAAATTAAACAAGATATTTACTATCTTTGGATTCATTTTGTCTTGCTTTCTCTCAGACTTTGTATTATGTTTTGTCAACAGTCACGTTATCTAATAACTTGGATTCCAATGAAAACATTTATTGTTTTTCTTTGTACTTTTTGAAATTACAATTGAAAATATTTGACATCGGCATACAAAATAATTTCATATTTTCTTTAAATAAAACATTCATTCAGATTCGATTTTATTTTTAGAGTAAGTTTAAAAAAAGATAAGCGAAGACCCGTATATATATGTTAAGATAAAGATTGAAGAAAATAACATATGTTTTCATTCTCATTGGAAATAAAAATCTGTTGATTATTTCTTTGTTTTTTTTGTATGTGAAAAATAATGTTGTTTATAACTTTGGTGAGTCTCTTTGGATTTATTTTAATAACTAAAACTTCTGATCTACAAAAATATGTTGATCTAATTGATATTAATAATGATGGAAAATTATTTAGTGATGAAATTCTTCTATTTTTTAATAAATTCTATGAAGAAAAACAAGATCAATTATCCATATCATCATTAAGTTCAATTAAAAAACAAAAAGATATTCTACATAATGTTATTAAACGATATAATTACAATTCTTCAGCTAATTATCTAACTCTCCTTGATCTCAAACAATTATTTTTTGATTTATATAGTTTACAAAATCAAATACCAACATTTTTATTCAATAATTTAGAACCTGAACAAGTACATTTATCTTATACACATGATGTTTTTACTGAAATGTATATTTCATTTGTTACACGTAAGCGACCATCATCAAATCTACGTCCAATAGTAAAATATTGTGACCATGAATGTATTGCTATTGGTGATACAACAACATATAATGTAGATAATTGGCATTATTGGATTCATTTTATCTATATAAAAGGTTTAGAACCAGGTGTTAAATATAATTATAAACTTGGTTTTATTGATTCGGATAATGTTACAATTAAACATTTATATTCAAATGAAATATGGACATTTAAAACAATGGCTCAAATTG